AGGATTTTTCTTAAAGCCCTGCAAGGATGCAAAGCTGGAAGCAAGGAAGGAAGATGGGTGGGGCTAAGGGGGTGGGGGTGCCATGGCTGAGGTCTGAGTACTCTGAAGTGCTGTGTGGCCTCAGACAGGTCCTTCTCCCTGGACCTCTGCTAATTTATATACAAGGAGAAGTTGCATCTGATCTATGGTTCTCACATGAGATCGGTCATCAGAATTTATTTGTAAATTCCTTCCTTCCTTCATTCAACAAATGTTTCTTGAGCAGGAAGGCATGCTATGCCATGCACTAGATCCTTAGGGACCCAGTGGTGAGAAAAGAGACAAGTTGCCACTCTCAGGAAGCTCACATTCTAGTCCAGAAGACAGTTAGCAAATAAACATGGAAAATGATCATTTCAGATCTTCATAGTAATGAGTACTCTGGAGGAGGGAAGGTACAACAAGACTGTGATGGAGGCAGGTGACAAGAAGAGCATGATTGCTTAAAGAAGTCAGGGAGGGCTTCCCTGAGGAGGTGACATTTGAGCGAAAGGAAGGAGCTGGAAGAACAGCATACCAGGTGGAGGGAACAGAAAGAGCAAAGACACTGGTTAAGGGACCTGTTCCATATGAAGAGTAGCAAGAAGGCCACGTGGCCAGAGCAGAGTAAGGGAGAGGTGGGGGAGTAGAAAATGGCGTCTAGAGTAGGAGAGAGGCCAGGTCAGTCAGAGCTTTTTAATCCCAGTGATCACTTTGGATGTGTTGGCCCAGTAGAAGGCAGAATTACCTGGGATGTTTCTTTAAGATACAGGTCCCCACATTTCATCCTTGGACAGTCTGATTTATTATGGCTACAATGGGACCTAGGAATCTGTATTTTCAAAAGCTCCTTGGGGGCCTCTGAAACTGTGCCAAGTTTAGCAAAGCCTGGACTACATGCTCCCTGAGTCTCCTTCAGTTTTAAAAAAGCTAAGAGGCAAAGTGCTAGAACACATTGAAAAAAATCTTTAATATTATATGAGGAAGGAATCCTTTCTTCTTTCCCCCACCACTCCCTGTCAACCTGATAGAATTAATTCTATTCTTCTTTGTTTTGTAATCCCATGTGAAGTACCCAACACCAGGAATGGGAGACCAATGCTATTGGAAAAAAAAAAATACTACCACATCAGGGAGTGTCAAGTTATAAACTGCAGCAACTCCATTTTACCTCTGCTTATCAAACCATTGTCAGGGATTCCCTATCCCTAATTCTGAACCATGCTGCTGGTAGCGATGGATGAGGCATTGTCCCCGCCCTTAGCCTTGTCCCCCAGTGCCTGGCAATAGCATCCACCAGCTTTCCCCACACTGGAGATAACCCCTGCCTCTATTAGCACAAGTCACTGATGCCTTCCCCCAATGCCAGCACTGTTTGTCATTCACTGCCAAACTCCTCACATCAACGCTCAGTTTCTGCCTAGGACAAGGTTGCCGCAGGCACATGTTTGTGTCTTGGTCTCCCATAATGCTCTAGAAAGCCCCAAATTCCATTCTTCTATGTGTGTCCAGCTCAAGACTCTCTTGGGAAATACACATCCATTGATAAGCTCACTGATCATTTTTCTAAGGGAAATATGAGGAATAGAAGAAAAGGCGTTGATTGAGCCATCTGAGTAGACAGAGGTATTGGCTGGGTTATTTCCACCAACTGCTATCATGAAGGGATTAGCTCAAGGCATCTCAAAAAGCTCTTTATAATTTTTTGAAACAGATGAATGTTCTCTTTAGTCGATGCCTTTGCCCTTTCATTTACTCACTGAACAAAGATTGCTGATTGTTTATCCCACATTTAGCCAGCAGCCAAGGATGCTAGTTCTGCTTTCAAAACATGGCAGAATCTAATCACATCTCATCACCTCCATCGCTGCCACGCTTCTCTGGGCCTGGTCTATTGCAGCGGTCTCTCTGTCTCTGTCCTTCCCTACCTCCCTTTGAGTGTCCTGAGCTCGGGGAGTGGCCCTTCTGAACATCACCCATCTCAGCCACAGGGGACCCAAAGTTTTTCCCATGGCCTGTAAAGACCTCATCTCTGATCTCTCCTCTTGCCCCTGCTTGCTGTTTCTTGTGTATGCCAAGTGTCTTTGAACTTGATATTCCTTCTGCCTGGAACATACTGCTTACAGATACCTGTGTAGAAGTTACATATTACTGAGCAACAAAATACCCCCAATTTTCGTGCCTTAGAACAACAATTAACAGTTAAGTTTTGCAGTTTCTTTGAGTTAGAAGTTTGGCTGGGTGACTGGGTCACTACCTCTCAGACATTAGCCATGGCTGCTGTCTCATCTGATGGCTTGACGGGGCTGGAAGACTCACTTCCAAGGTGATTCACTCACATGGCTGGTTGTGCTGGCTGTTGGCAGCAAGTCTCGGTTCTTTGTCACATGGATGTCTCCACAGGGCTGCTGAGTGTCCTCACTACATGGCGGCCAACTTCCCTCAAAGTGATCCATCCAAGAGGAAGAGGCCGAAGTTACCTTCATGACCTAGTCTTGAAAGTCACACATCATCACTTTTACTTCATTCTGTTCATTCAGCTTGAGTCACTAGCCCATTCAGTATCCTAGGGGAGGAGATTAGGCTCCATAATTGATGCTATGAATGTCAAAAATTTGTGAACACATTTTAAAGACAACACAAACTGCAAGGTTAGTCCCTGGTCGTTCAAGTCTCCACCCTCATTACTTCCTAAGAAAGGCCCTCCATGATTATTTTGCTGTTGTTGTTGTTTAGTTGTTAAGTCATGTCCCAATCTTCTGTGACCTGTTGGACTGTAGCCTGCCAGGTTCCTCTGTCCATGGGATTTCCCAGGCAAGAATACTAGAGCAGGTTGCCATTTCCTATGCCAGGGGATCTTCCCAAACCAGGGGTTGAAGCCACATCTTCTGCTTTGGCAAGCAGACTCTACCAATGAGTCACCAGGGAAGTTCCCTCCATGATTACCCAATATGAAATAACAGTCACCCCTCTCACTTTTGTAGGCCCTTTACACTGATTTATTCTCTCTATAATTATTACTGATGAATAAGCCATATTATTACTTGCTTGTGCATTTATTACCTTCTTTTCCATGTATAATCCAGACTCCACAATCCTGGGAACACCTGTGTCTTGTTCACTACATCCCCACACTTAAAACTGGCCTGGAGACACTGCAGGCACTCAGGGAATCAGAGTCAATGAATTTTAGGTTAGCCTCAGCTGGGACGAGAATGGCAAGAGGCAAACCTTGCTAGAGACTGGGCAGAAATTGCAAGCTTTGAGTTGTCTGAAAAGAGCCAGGACAGCATTCCACACAGATAGACCAGAGGGAACAAAGATGTGGAAATGGAACCCTCATCATGGGGGAAGTGGGGCAGGGAAGTATACAGAAAAGTGGAGTTCTGGAAGCATGGAATTGACAGTGAGAAGGGCTGGGTAGACCCCACTAGAATCTCCATCTTTCCTGGGTTTGGAGCATCTCCCAGCTCTGCTTCTAAAGATACACTGATAAGCGGCTGACAGAGATGGATGTGTTTTGCTGCCCTCCCTTCAATATTGACCAGGCTTGGCCTGCACTCCTGGCAGCCCCAAGGAGCAGGGGGGCTTATCAGATACATTTATCCTGAGTCATAAAACCAATCTTGATGCAATGGCTGCAGAAGCTCGATGCAGGAGAGATGCTAATACCTTTGATCAGTGCTTGACCTGGGATCTGCAGGCAGGGCAGGCAGGCAGGGAGGGCAGCAATCATGCTTGCTGGATGTTGCTAGATCCACCTGTGGCTCTCAGACTCCTGACTCTTCCTGGTTAGGAGCCAAGAGATTTGAGTGACAGCCTCTTCAGAGACTGAGTAACTAGGCAGTTTATTTTCTTTCTCTGGGACTCAGAGAAGGAGGTGGGACACAGATCATCTTCCTGTGCAGTTTGGACCTCATCTCAGAGGCAGAGGGGAGGACTTCGGGCCTTCATTGGAACTGCTATCCCAAGTGGGTGAGCTCACACCTGCTGAGGACACCAGATAGGAGGCTTGGTTCACAGAGAAGTAAAGGAAAATGGAAATGACATATTTTAGGCCTTTTGTGTTTGCTTATATTATCTTCACAACAACTCAATGATATATGGACTGCTATTATCCTCTATTTTATAGCTGAGTAAATTGCAACTCAGAGAGGTTGAGCAACTGATCCAAGGTTCTATAGTTACTAAATGGTGAAGATAGTGTTTGAATTAAGGTATCTCTGTGCCACACACAGATAAGATAGAAAAATGGGATAGAAATGGCAAAAGAGAATTTGAACTAATCCTGTCTTGCTTTTGGCCTCTGATTAAGTCTTGAGGAAGGTAGTAAAATGTTGATTCCCAGCCCCTCCCTGTGATTTAGTCAGGATAGCCTGAAAGTGAAAAGTGTAAGTGAAGTCGCTCAGTTGTGTCCGACTCTTTGCAACCCTGTGGACTGTAGCCTACCAGGCTCTTCCGACCATGGAATTCTCCAGGCAAGAATACTGGAGTGGGTTGCCATTTCCTTCTTCAGGGGATCTTCCCAACCCAGAGATCAAACCTGGGTGTCCCTCATTGGAGGCAGACACTTTAACCTCTGAGCCCCCAGGGAAGCCCCAGGATAGCCTAAGCAGTAACAAATAAGCCCCTAAACCTCAGTGGCTTAACCTAACTAAGGCTTATTTCTGTCATGCAAAGTCTGATGTGATCCAGGCATCTCTCCTCCATCCAGTAGCTTCGCTGTTTGGAAGGTGTGGCCTCGAAAGTCACTGTGACAGAGGGAGAGAGGGAGCTGGAGATGGGTGGCACACAGATCTGACTGCCTCAGATAGATACTGGAAACAGTATCTATCTCCCCCACTTGGAGACCATTGACCCCTGATGATACTTATGACCCCAACTTAACTCCGGGGGAAGTCAGACATCTGTGCATGCTTGATGAACATTAAGAATCTCTGTCATATCCTAATGCTTTCACCTCCTCCTTTCTTCCTCTATAGGACAGAACCCCAGAGCAGCCCCATGGTCCCAGCTCAGGATGGACCCTCGGAAAAGCTGAGCCAGCATTTGGCCTCCAAGGTCTTGGGCACCAACAGCTGGGACAGAGGCAAAGCCTGCCGGGAGCCCAGTCCTGCCACAGCACGCAGGTGAGATTCTGCCCCCATCCCTCTCTCTGATCTAACGCGGAAGTTCAAGTTGAGGATGGAAAAATGAAGTTTATTTCTATGACCACTCTTCCCCTCTGTCTCTTGCAAGTTCCTCTTTGAGATCCTTAAATCAAATCAAAATCCAGCTGAGAATTAGTTGGAAGCTATGAGTACTAAGAACACCCTCCTAATTCTGTGTACCATTTCAGAGGATTCGTAGACGCCCGAGGCTAGTGAACAGGTGTCTAAGTAGTTAAATATTTACCCCCTATGATTTTTATTTTTAACCCGCTAAGAGTGAGTCTCTTGAAGATATAGCTATATGATTTTTGTTGACTGTCAATGCAGAGATGTTAACATGTATTCTAATTACTTATATCATTTTTTTTCCTATTAACTATAAATACCAGATTCTTAGAATGGAATTAATTATGGCAGCATTTTTGGATGTTTTATAAAGAGTTAAGTAACTTCCAAAAGATCAACCACACAAACAAGTTTGAGAAAGCAGCTGGTTTTGTGGGAAAGCTCTCAGGATAGTAATCACACAGGCCTCAATTCATATCCCAGCTCAGACACTTCCTAACTGTGCACCCTTGAGCAAGGCAGTTCAGCTTTCTGAGCCTGATTTTCTTTGCCTGTAGAAGGAGACAGTAAAAATCATAACACCCTCAAAGTGCTTTTGTTAGTATCAAAGTATATAAAACATTTGGTGCATAGCAAGTGAATATACAGTAGCTGTGTTACTACTAATAATGACAATAATAGTCTTATTAATATTCTCTTTTCCCAGTGAGGTTCAGTGGAGTTGGCCTGTTTCAATTCCCAAGCAGTTTTTCATCCAAAACCATATCTTTTTGCCGTGGGATGGATACTGCTTTAAAAAAAAAATCCCTGGAGCCTGCCCCAATTATAAAAGAAGATAACTTGACTTCATTTAACTGCAGCCTGAGCATTTGAATTTAATTGAACAGGAAATAATTATTCCTGAGGAGTGGAGGTTTTTGAGGTTCTGTGAAGCGATATGAGATATGTATCTCGTTACATTAGACCTTGGCAAATATACTTTTAATAATCAGCTGCTACTTAACCTACCTTTTGCCTCCCATTTAATTTCCAGCAGGAACTACAGACATAATGTATTGGGGAGGGAGGGTGCTGAACTGCCGATTAATTATTTAAAAACTGATTTATTTACCAAGGTGAGCCATTTGCAAATTCAATAATAAATCTATTAAGGAGAAGTTAACCTCTATAATTCTGTTTTAAAGAATCAATTGGTGTTTGGGTAACGTAGAGCATCTGTCTCATTAGGTCAGCGTTGGCTCCTTATTTGCGGCGTTTAACCTGAAGTGCAACCAAATCAGCCATGAGGTGGTGATTAGGTATTCACTGTGGGTCCTTCACCCTCCAAGGAACTGGATCGTCTCTCAGCTACAACAGCACCAGTTGACGGCTCGGGGACCCCTGGGTCCTCTAATGCCTTGTTCTGTGTTCTCCCCAGTGCCTCCCGCAGCAAAGACTTGACGCCTCTACCTTCCTCCAGGGGGAAGAAAAAAAAGAAGAAAGCTACCCGGAAGAAGAGAAGGAGGTGAGGGATCCAAGGGGCCATGAAACCCTGAAGATGGGGGAAGGGACAAAAGGGTTCTTGAGTTAGGCAGTGACTCCTCTGGGATTCAGATCCCCTCTTTGCTGTGTGACCTTGGGCAAGTCACTTCACCTCTCTGAGCCTGTTTCCATTTCTATAAAATGGTAGAAATACTTACTTCTTGGGGTTTTGTGAGTATTAGACAAGAAAGTTGATGTGGAAGCAGCTGTCACAGTATCTGGCACATAGTAAATGATAGTTAATATGAAGCATGATTGTGACCATTAGTATTTACTTCTTTATGTATTTTTGGAGAACTCACTTTATGTAAGTGCCATGCCAGGCACTTTGATCTCACATAGTTACAGTTGTTTTTCTTGTGATGAGAAATCTTGAGATCTAATCTTTTAGCAACTTTCAAATATACAGTATTGACTCTAGTCATCATGACTGCTTTATCTTATAGTTATTATCCCCATTTTAGAGATGAGAAAATAAAGGCTCAGAGAGGAGGTGACAGATACAGACACTTGATTCTAGGCTCCTCAATTGCTTCTGCCACTACAAAAATGCCAAGGATAATGGACTTTATATTTTTTCCAGCTATTGACTCTTTTGTACCATATGAATTTTTTTCTATACACAATTCTTTTAGTTTTTTTGCATTTAAAATTGTTTTCAGGCTTTCTTCTCTGTTTTAAATCCCTACACTAAAAGCAGGTTGTGTTCCAGGCCCCAAGGGGTGGTCAGAGAGATGTTTCTTACATGACCTCAGTCCAGTTGCTCAGTTGTGTCTGACTCTTTGCAACCCCATGGACTGCAGCATGCCAGGCTTCCCTGTCCATCATCAACTCCTGGAGCTTGCTCAAACTCATGTCCATCAAGTCGCTGATGCCATCCAACCATCTCATCCTCTGTTGTCCCCTTCTCCTTCCACCTTCAATCTTTCCCAGCATCAGGATGTTTTCCAATGAGTCAGTTCTTCACATCAGGTGGCCAAAGTATTGGAGTTTCAGCTTGAGCATTAGTCCTTCCAATGAGTATTCAGGACTGATTTCCTTTAGGATTGACTGGTTTGATCTCCTTGCAGTCCAAGGGACTCTCAAGAGTCTTCTCCAACACCACAGTTCAAAAGCATCAATTCTTCGGCACTCAGCTTTCTTCATGGTCCAACTCTCACATCCATACATGACTACCGCGAAAACCACAGTATTGACTAGATGGACCTTTGTCAGCAAAGTAATGTCTCTGCTTTTTAATATGCTGTCTAGGTTGGTCACCATTTTTCTTCCAAGGAGCAAGCATCTTTTAATTTCATGGCTGCAGTCACCATCTGCAGTGATTTTGGAGCCCAAGAAAATAAAATCTGTCACTGTTTCCATTGTTTCCCCATCTATTTGCCATGAAGGGATGGGATCAGATGCCATGATCTTAGTTTTTTGAATGTTTAGTTTTTTTGTTTTTTTTGGGGGGGGGTTAGGAGGGGGGGGGGTTTTCCCCTTTTTTTTCCCCCATTTTTATTAGTTGGAGGCTAATTACTTTACAATATTGTAATGGTTTTTGCCATACATTGACATGAATCAGCCATGGATTTACATGTGTTCCCCTTCCCGATCCCCCCTCCCGCCTCCCTGAATGTTTAGATTTAAGCCAGCTTTTCCACTCTCCTCTTTCACTTTCATCAGGAGGCTCTTTAGTTCTTCATTCCTTAGAGGGGCAAGTTAAAAAACCTCGGAGGCAGTATTTGATGAAGCCTCCAGGGGGCAGAAGAGAGCAGAATCTGGATGCCTTGGGTCCCAACTCCATGTTTTCAGGGGCTGTTTCCTTCACCCCTACTTTAGCCTAGTTCTAAGTGGTGAGGCCCAAAGAGGACCCAGAGGGTAATGTGAATGAAGACCTGAGTTCCAGCCATTCTAGGGTGAGGGGTAGAATTGGGGTAAGTGGCCTGAGCTTCCTGATTTTAGGGGTGGGCAGGAGAACAAGTCAAGTAAGGAAGCCAAAAAAAAAAAAGAAGGAAGCCACAGGGATTAGGCTTCATTCACTCATTCCTTCATTCATTCAGTGTGTTTGGGAACAGGTGCTCTGATTCCCTAAGTCAGATTGTTTTTCAACCCTGCATCTCCACCTGCAGACATGTTTTATTTGACCTGCAAATTGTTTTTTGTCTTTTTAATTGATGGCCATTGTTTTAAAACCAGGAGATTTCAAATGAAAATATGTTCTCTGACAGCTACTATTGAAAAGGCAAGTGCTGTAGAAGCCCAGGCCTGCATTCCTGCCTGAGACCTTCAGCTAATCTGAAAAGAAGCCATCCCCCTAGGTCAGGTGCTCCCTGGCTTATCACAGGCCCCACCACTCCATACCATCTACCCCCCAACCCGCTGCATCCATTTAAGCTGTCTGAGAGGCAGGTCTCTGTTGGCATTGAGTTTGCAACTCCAGATATGTTTCAACCTTGGTATTTCATCAGTGGGAGAATAGGAAACTTAGAGTGAGCAGTGACATGCCTGAGGTGACTTGTGAATTAATGGTAGAGTCAAGACTGGAACTCAAGTCACCTGAACCTCAGCCTGGAATCATAGTCATGATTCTAGGGTATCTCTGTTTCTCGGGTAACCCCTTTGTGGCAAGGACCCATGCTGAGAAGACCCTGGCAAGATGTCCTGCAGAAGTGTGGTCTGACCAGGGAGACAACAGGATGGGGCAGAGGAGAGACCTTTCAAGCATACACAGTTTGGGGAAGGGCAGCAGACAAAAGTAAATACTGTGGTCCCACCAGGAGGGCAGCTGCGGGGTGATGCAGTGATTGAGAACAAAGCCCCTGGGATCAGAGAGGCTTCAATTTGAATCTCAGCTCATCCACTTCTTGACTATATTTAGGCAACTGTCTTTAGGCAAGTCACTTCACCTCTCTGAATCTCACTTTCTCTGTCTGAAAAAGGAGGGTAGCAATTGTACCTACCTAAGAAGTATGTAGAGAGATTAAATGAAATAATACATATAAAACACACAGTAACATTTAAGACAAAGTATCATCCTTGATATGTGCTCCTGGAAGAGCTGAGGCTGTGTCTGGGAACTGGAGAAAGGACTGATCCTGGCCCTCAAAGCCCCCCTCTCAAGTATGTCTTCTCTCCATGGCAGGTCCCCATCTTATAGCCCATCACCTGTCAAGAAGAAGAAGAAGAAAAGTTCCAAGAAACATAAGCGACACAGGTACTGTCCTTCTTCTTCTAAACACAGGGATGCCTCGGGTGGGGTTGGGGTGGGGGCAACAGTGGGTGGCACTGAAAGGTCACTTGGAGGCTTATTGTTTCATTTATGAAAAATACTCATGTGTGTATGGTCTTGTATTTGTAACTTGTGTAACTTGGCACTCCTGTTGCAAAGACCAGAGACCTACTAACACTAACTCAGGCCTGCGGGGGGATTTGTTCTGAGACCAGCCAGGTTTCAGTGAAGAGCTAGAACCAAAGCTAACACAACCCAAGCCTAATTCCATAGTGCACACGGGGGCACACAGACCCTGTACCCTGTTCCCGTCTCTTCCTATCACAGGCCCGATCACAAGAAGATACTGAATCTCTCTTGTTTGTTATTCTAAATTCCCATGGAGAGGCCTTTCTGATAGATCCAGCTGTGTCCTAGAGAATGGGATCATGTGAAACATTGCTTTAGGATTGTCCATGTTTTGGACATACCTGTAGACAACTACTTGTGGACTGTAGTTAAGAGGCATTAGGAACTGAATACACATTCCCAAGGGCTTCCCAGGCGGCTCAGTGGTGAAGAATCCACCTGCCAATGTAGGAGCCACAGAAGACTCAGGTTTGATTCCTGGGTTGGGAAGATCCCCTAAAGAAGGAATTGGCAACCCACTCCAGTACTCTTGCCTGGAAAATCCTATGAACAGAGGAGCCTTGTGGGCTACAGCCCATGGGATCTCAAAAGAGTTGGATATGACTGAGTGACTGAGCATGCACACATATTCCCAAAGGTGCTCACTATACACACGTGCATGTACACACACACACACACACACACACACACACACACAAGTTTGTGGGGAAAAATAAAAGATAGGAACGCTGCACATGAGAGGTCTCAAATGTGTGGCTCATGGGCCAGGCCAACATTTTGCAATACAAAAAGTTTTCCAGCACTTCTGTGAAATCAGAAGCTCTCTTCATTGGATCGATCTTCCCACAGGCAGTCATCCGCTGGAACTGAGGAGTTGCTGTGCATTTAGACAGTGCCAGGGTGTCACACTGTCCCCAGTTAACTTGCCTCCCCCATCTACACACATTTACAAAGCTAATTTGACCCCTGGAGGGCAGAGGGTTTATCTTCATAAGCTATTTGCTGTGGTTGGCTGTGGATGACAAGGAAAGAGTGGTTTATATTTTATTTTTGCTTATCTGTATCTTCCAACTTTTCTACACCAGTGGTGGATTACTTGTGCAATTAAACAATCGCAACAGAACAAAAGGTAAGAGGTCATTTGGGTTCCCCACCCTGCCACATCTCACCCCCACGTGGCTTTTCCAAATCCAGGGGTATGGTCAGCTCTCAGCCCTTGTTGCCAGAATGGTCTCTACTCAGTTTGGTCTCACAGATTATGTCCACCACCTGTCCAAACATATCCACTGATCCTGTCTGAATTTGTGCTCAGTACAGGCGTGAAAGTGAAAGTCGCTCAGTCATGTCTGACTCTTTGCAACCCCGTGGACTATACAGTCCATGGAATTCTCCAGGCCAGAGTACTGGTGTGGGTAGCCGTTCCCTTCTCCAGGGGATCTTCCCAACCCAGGGATCAAACCCAGGTCTACCGCATTGCAGGCGGATTCTTTACCAACTGAGCCACAAGGGAAGCCCTTGGTTAACCTGGCATTTGAAGTCTTTCCCAATGTGGAATTCTTTGCTGAGGTGAGGGCCTGCCCATGCCCACAGACTGCCAGCTTGTCACCTTCCTGTGCCGAGCGGTTTGTCGCAGCTTAGGGGCGGGATGGAGAGAGGGGGCATTTTTCTATATGGATCTGGGGAACCAAGTGGCGTCTCACTCAAGGGCTTCTCATATGAAAGAGACTTGGCCAGAGGATTAGAAACAGACTTTCTCTGGGGGCTACAGTTGGCTCAGGGGTTGTCAGAAGCATAGAGGGAAAGAAGACCATAAAATAGGAAATTAGGAGTGGGAAATATGATCTGATTCTTCTCAAACCCTCGTCTGCTGAGCATCACTCTAATCTTAGTCCATTTTCTCCAAGTTCTTTAAATGTATGGTTAATATTTGACTTTTTAGAACTGGAAGCTAAAGGTAGAGGATGCATTGAACTTTTTCTTCTCCTTCAATTAACTAAGGTTTCAGGGTTTAAAAAAAAATCCCTTTTCCACACCTATTTATTGAATACCCATTGTATATCATGAATGAGGAGATTCTGGGCCCCAGGAACAAAACAGTAACCAGAACCCAGTCCCTGCCCTCAAGTTGCTCACATTCTAGTGGGGACAATGGTAGTCGTATTATGAAGAAGTCTGTACCACAGTGAGGCTCAGCTCGGCAGCTCACTCAGAGCTTGTGGGAACAGAGAGGGGGACACCAAACCAGCCTGAGGGGACTGGAAAACGCTACAGGAGGTGACATCTGAGAATGAATTGGAGTTACACAGTGAAGCTGTGTGGTCCTGGGCAACTTAATTCCTCTGAGTTTCAGTGTCTTTGTCAAATGGCTATCAGTAGTACTTTACAGGTTTAGGGGGAAGACTGAATTAGATTGTGTGTGAGCAATGCTTAGTACAGAGCCGGGACCCCAGTAGGTGTTCCACATGTGGAATCTGGTTGTCCCTTGAAGATGTTGATGATGGTGAATCCACAGCTAGGGAGGGAAAGAACCAAAGTGAGGCTTGGGGGAAGCGAAGAGGCAGAGGGACTCTCTGTCCTGGCCTCCTCATGCAGTCTTTTCCAGAACAGGCTTACTGACAAATTTGGGTGAGGATTGAAACACTGATAATTCAAAATGCAAGCCAGGGTTTCTCATATGATCTTCAAATCTAAAAGAGGAGGAGGGTTCACCAGATGTCCTGGTCCCCTTGTAGCCTGGCCACAAGTGCACTGATAGGAAGTCCCCTGGCAGTCCAATGGTTACGACTCCGTGCTTTCACTGCAGGGGGCATGGGTTTGATCCCTGATGAGGGAACATCCCAGGAAAAAAAAAAGTTATAAATATGCTGATACAACCATCCCAGGAAAAGAAACTCAGACTCACATTTATTTTCTTCCCCCACACCCTCCGTTCCTTTCTTCTCTCCTCCTTCCTCATCTTTCCTCCCTCCCTGTCTCTCTCCCTTCCTTCCTCTCTCTCTCTCTTCCTTTTTTCCCCCGTCAATCAGGTCATTCTCCAAGAAGAGAAGGCACAGGTAAGCATCTTGTTGTCTCTGGTTGCTTGCTCGGCTTTCTGCTTTCCTAACCAAGTTTAGGTAGCATCTAGGGTCCAGCTCTCAGCCTCCACCTCTGTGTTCACTCCCCCTTCATCTTCCTGGGCCTTAGTTTCCTCCAAAATGAAGGCCATAATCTGGTTTCCCTGAAAGTTCCAAGCCAACTTTCAATTTCCACCGGGCCACATGGTTGCTGCTAGGCCAGTTCCTACTGATCCTTCTCCCTGGCAAGTCTTACCACCCTTACCAGGGTCTGTTTGACCATTGGTTGAAATTTGGATTGGGAACTTTCCTTGGTGGTCCAGCGGTTAAGACTCCACACTTCTAATTCAGGAGTGTGTGCATGTGTGCTTAGTTGTGTCTGACTCTTTTGTGACCCCATGGACTGTAGCCCACCAGGCTCCTCTGTCCATGGGATTTCCCAGGCGGGAATACTGGAGTGAGTTGCCATTTTCTCCTCCAGTGGATCTTCCTGACCCAGGGATCGAACCTGCGTCTCTTGCATCTCCTGCATTGGGAAGTGAATTCTTTATCACTGTACCACCTGGGAAACCCCCACAATGCAGACAATGTGAGTTCAATACCTGAATTCAGTGTGAGCTCAATGAGAGTCAGGGAACTAAGATGTGCAGCATGGCCAAAAGAAAAAAAAATCTTGGGTTGGGAATGTAGAGAAGCATCACCCCACCAAAGCCTTCCCAGATCCTAACTAAGGGATAGAGGCCTAGTATTGGAACCATGGGGTAAACACAAATTAAGCTATAACCTGTGGGGTACTCACTATAAATTAGATCCTATGCTAAGCCTTGTCCACATGCATGGGTATTTGATCTCTATACATCCCCATCACAACCCTGTGCAGAGGATATCTTTATTATTTCCATTTTACAGATGAAGAAACTAAGACTCAGGCGATGTGGCTGGCATGTCCACAGACACACAGTCAGAGGAGGCAGAGCCAAAACTACAACCCAAGTCTGTCTGACAGAGGATCAGGACAGCCTGCAGTGGCTTCCTCAATAACAGTAGCACAGCTGCAGCCACTGACAGAGTGCAAAATCCTTCCATTCATTCAGTTAACAAGTAGACATGATTACCAAGGTAATCTATCCACTTAGCCCAACAGCTTAAGCAATGACCCCACTTCAAGGGCAAGGAAACTGGGTCTTTGAGAGGACAGGTATCCTGCCCGATATCACACAGCAACTCAGCAGCAGAGCCAGGAGGTGAACTTGGTCTTTCAGTGAGGACCTGGGATCTCCACTGCCCAGGCTGAGTCCCAGACACAGAGATAAATCCTGCAGCTCACGTCAAGATGCGATTTCAGTTGGATGAAATCAAATTTCTCCTTCCCAGGACTTAGGCCAGTGATGGGTTCCTGGTGATCCTCTGAAGCCAGTCTGGTTTGAATTATCAAATAGAATTTGCCTTTGGGGCCTCTATTTGGTGATGCGGAGACCCTGAGTCATCATTGTCCATTCTGCCCACCCCCCAGTACTCTGACTTAAAAAAAAAAAAAAACTTAAATATTCATGAGCAGAACATTTCAGAATCTGCCAAATTTTAGGAGGCTTTAGAATCTCTCTCTGAATTTTCCAGTCTTTTCTTTTAGAAAAGACTAGAACAGTAGTTAAGAGGATAGGTGCTAGGGACCCATCATCTGGGGCCACATCCCAGCTCACCAGTAAGATCCTGGTCAAGTTTCTCAGCCAATCTGAGGCTCAGTTTCCACTTTCTGTAAAATGAATGCTTATTAAACATGCCATAGATTGTCTATACATGTTAGTCACTTAGTCATGTCCAACTGTTGTGACCACATGGACTATAACCCACCAGACTCCTCTGTCCATGGAATTCTCCAGGCAAGAATTCTGGAGTGGGTTATCATTTCCTTCTCCAGGGAATCTTTCCAACCCAGGGATCGAACCTGGGTCGCTCCCATTTCAGGCAGATTCTTTACCATCTGAGCCACCAGGGAAGTCATAGGTTGTAGGGAGAATGAAATGAGATTGTTGACAAAAGTATTAGTGAGTGCTTCCCCATAATAAAGCCTCAAAACATTGCAAATATGATTATCTTTACTACTGTTGTTACCATTAATCTACCAAAACTGATCTCGGCGTCCTTTATTCCCTGTCCTCAGTCTGTATGTGTGGGCTGGTTGCTCTGGTTTTAGAAAGGATCCGTGTCCATTCCCAAACTGCCTGGATCTAGTGACCACCATGTGTTAAGCATTTTAACTACTTCATTTTTATCATTCGCTGGAATTTTGCATCTTTTCATTAATTGGCCATTTCTCATTCAGCTCCTCCAGCCCAAAAAGCAAAAGAAAGGAAGAGAAGAGGCACAAAAAACAGTATGTACATTCCACCTGCAATGTACTGTCAATCTGGGGAGGTGGGGGACTGACCTCTGAACGGCCAGAGGGTTAGAACTGCCAAAGAAAAAAGGAACGGGAGAGGGGGCAGGTGGGCGAGAAGGGAAAGGAAGGGGAAGACCAAACAACAGAACTGTGTGTAGACGGGCAGCTGTGGGCTTGGCATGCATGGGTGTGTAAGGTGGTGTTTGCTGTGTGTGTGTGCATGTGTGTCTCTGTGTGCATGAAAGTGAATGGTGTACATGTCTGTGCCCATTGTGTGTGAGTTCTGTGTGCCTGTGTGTGCACTGTGTAACATTTGTACCTGGTACGTATATGCATAGTGTGCACTTTGTAAATATCTGTATATTTTTCTATTGTGCAAATGTCTGTGTGCAATGTGGGTGCCTAGTGTGTATGTATGTGTGATATATATCTGTGTTCATAAGAATGCATCACGTGTGCCCTTGCTTATGTGAGCATGAACTTAAACAGCGTGCAGATCGGTGCTCTATCTTACAGTGTGTTAGTTCCATGCCCTTGGTATGTGCGCTGCTTATTTATCTGTGTGCATTACTCCTAGGGAGGGTGTGTGTTGGGAGGTTACCAATACACAAGTGTGCTGTGTGTGCACAAGTGAGTAAGGGGGCTTGATCACATGTGTGCACATACATGTGAGTTCCAGCCGTGGTCCCTGGGCTTAGAGCATGGAGATACTGGGGGAGCACCTACCCCCAGCCTCAGTCCCCAGCTGGTCCTTGGTTTATAGCCAGTAGTAGAAATTCAAATCAGCCAGCACTGCCTGCAGAGTTCAGTTCCCAGCCAAATTAAAAGTAAATTTGGTTACAACCCACCTACTTTATACCCTTGCAAATGTTAGTGCGTGTGTTTTCCAATCAACTAATATTTTATCTCCCACCAAGAAGCTTCTAAAGTGAGAATCAAAGGCAATGGGATGAAAGTCAGTGAGCTGCAGGGGAGGGAAAAGAGGAAGCAGGCACAGAGGGAGGCGCTCAGTTTTGCTGGCCACCCAAGGTCAGTGCGAAAGAGGGCATTTCAGGCACCATCACGGGGGCCTGGGGAATGCTGCATAAAGAAGCAGCAGAGCTGTAAGTTAGCTCAGGGAAGAACTTCCTGATCATCAAGGTTGTTCAAGTTAAGTCAAGAGGCAGTCACTGGTCATCTGTGTCAAGCATATCTATGCTTCATCCTAAGCATAGATAGAGCATCTGTTCTCAGAGACGTGAGCATCACTTGTCTGAAGGGCTGCAGTCTAGACAGTCACTAAGCAGGGCCTGGGCCCACACCCCAGGAGTTCTGGGAAAATCATCAAAAAAAAAAAGAAAAAAATCATTGAGGTATGGACTGCCTGCCTGAGGGCAGCAAAGTGGCTACCTTGCCCAGCACCAAGTCTCAGAAATCACAAGCAGGACATAAAAGAAGATTCTGAAAGCCAGAAAAACAAGAGTCAGGAGAGGGAGAAGCAAGAAACACGAGGCACCCCTGAGATAAAGGTGGTTGTCCTTGCCAAAGCCCATGGTTAGTTAAGGCTGCGTTTAAACAGGGAACCACTGAGTGACTTGCTCCCACTTGTTCAGCGTCCCTTGGAGAGGCCCTAACAGGCGCCAGGCCCTATTGGGGCCCAAGGACAGAGATTAGGCGGACGCTCCTCCCAGCCTCCAGCACGCACAGTGTAGCAGGGCACGGGGAGACTTGGGACAGGTCTTGGCACCACAGTGGCAGACGAAGCTCCGGGCATGGTGGGACTCCAGGTGCAGGAAAGAGGGCATGGTGGTGAGAGGAGGTTTCCTGTGAGGAGGATGGAGATAACCATTCTAGGCTGCAGGTCAGGCAAGTGGTTTAATTATCTGTACCTCAGTTTCTGCATCTATAAAATGTGACTAATAAGAGAACCCACTTTGTGGGTTGTTGTGAGGAGTAAATGAGTCCACGTAAGGAAGATGCTCAGAACCCAGTGCCTGACAGGCAGTATGTGTTACAGTTTACCTGCCATGACCATCGTCGTCCGGACATGATACAATGTGGGGAGTGTGTGAGCCAGAATACCAGCACCTCGGTGTCCCTTGAGCCTTGCAAACCAGGACTGTAGATGCCATGCAAGCAGGCTGGAGAGCTAGGCAGGGGCTGGCTCCTGAAGCTGCCTGGGGTTCAAGGTCAGAGTTTGGACTTGACATGAGGACAGTGCAAGGGTTTTAAACAGAGAAGGGGTCACATGACAAGATATACCTGTGTAAGAATACCTGAGTCCTTTGTTGGGATAACCAAGTTACCTTTTAATAGAATCATCTCTAACCACCCCTTGGCTTCCTGACTTGACCCAAACTATTGACATTCCTTGTATATCCCCAGTGACCATTGCCACTGCTATTGCTACTTCTAAGTCATCATTATTATTTAGAGAGAGCCAAAGTAAGTGGTAGTGGTGGCAGTTACATGTACTGTATTTCTTGTTGATAAAGACATTTGTAACTCACTCTGAAAGTGGGCTTTTGACTCCATGCTAAGAATCCAGACTTAATTTTCCTGGTCTGAGTTACAGATTGGCAGCCCAAAAGCCTAACGGATTCTGTAATTGTGTTTTGTTTGCCCCAAACAGTGTCTTTTTTTTTTTTAATGAGCTTCCATTTAAAATAGAAATAAATTACACAAAAATCTCCATTTCTACATTGACTTGAAAAGTTAGAAGATCAGGTACCACAGCACTCTTCTGGGGGCAAAGTCACTTTCTTTAGCCCGTGCCCTCTGGTTCGTATTTTTCGAGTGCCCCACTGATTCACACATCGTAGTGTTTGACTGGCTCCTGAAATGGGGACTCCTGCCTTAGGCAAGGGAGAGGTGATGTGTGCAGGTGACATACACTCTGCTTCCAGAAGAGCCCTGGGGATCAGGCTGTCTCCCCTAGACGAGCCCCTCTCTGCTCGTTTGTGTTCCGGATGGCCAGTTACAAAGATGGGAAGTGAGGGTGATGCAGGGATTGGGGGGTGCATGACCGTGGGACAGTTACTCAAGTGCAAGATCAAAACCTCTCTCTCTCTCCTCTGATTCCCTCCTTCTCATCCCCCACCCCCTCAAGATCGCGAAGCCGGCCCCGAAAATCTCGCCGCCACCGCCATCACCACTGCCCCTCACGGTCCCAGAGCTCAGAGTCCCGCTCCTCAAGCTGCGACAGCAGGTAACCCCCGCCCCCAGGCGTCTCCTCACCCTGACCACAGCCCAGGGCCTAGCTAAGACACCATCACCATCAGCTTTGCCTCCACAGTCACTGTTGGGGAAGCTGCTTTCCCAGCAGAGGGGCAGCTCCTGCCTCACACTTGGGCTGTCACCACTTCCTTGCAGAGGGGCTGCAGACAGAAGGACTTGCTGCCTCCACTTATAGGAACACTGGCCACAGGACTTGCTAACAGTGCTTCCATGGCCAGGTGCTAAGCACTCTTCATGGTCCACTGCATGATCCCCTCTGCAACCCTAGGAAGGAGGCACTATTGTCATCCCCACTTTAGAGATGAGGAAACTGAGGCACAGAGAGGTTAAGGAACTTGCCAGGCACTTAGCTGCTAAGGGACAGAGCTAGGCCTGAACTGGGGTGCCTGGTTCACTTGGCTGTCTCTCACTCGGGGTTGTTCTAAGCACAGAGAAGCTAAGCGACCTATGAAAGGCTACATGGCACAAGGTATCTAGTTCTGTGGCCCTTCCAAGCCCTCTTGCTCCTAACATTGACCCTCTTTATGCTGACACATTGGCTGCCCCAGCCTGAGCAGGGGAAGAGGCTCTTGTGGATGAGAAGAACAAAAAAAAGAGGGAGTAGGGCTTCGTGGATGTTGGTGTTTGAAATTGTTGAGACCATTGGCAATGTCAAGGGCCCCTTCATGGTACCAGGCCAGTTTCCGGATGTCAGAGGCTCCTTTATTCTTTCTTAAGTCCTTCTCACACTTGGCCTATGTAGTCACGTAGTCACCTCACCTAGGAAGATTTAAAAATCTCACTGTCCTGGTCCCGCCACATTCCCAGCTAAGTCAGAATGTCTACAGGAAGGAAGAGGAGGAAGAGAAATAGGAATCTAAATTTTACTCTGAACTGGGCACTGTGCTGCAATTGCAAATAGATTCTGTCTCTTAATCATCCCCGTCACACCATGAGCCAGACCAGAGCTTCTCTGCCTTGGCTGCTCTGTGATCGCTTTGGAAGTCTAAAAATACCAGTGCCTGGATCCCATCTCTAGACATTCTGATCTAATCCAGATGAGCGTGGAGCAGGTGTGAAAGCAGCCCCTGACATCGAGGCCTCTCCCCAGTAGCTGTGGTGTTCCCACATCACACAAGGCTGCTCTGTGATCCTGAGTGATCCAGACAAAATCAAGACCCTCTTGGAAGCAGGTGCAAGCCTGGACAAAACTTTGTCCACAACCCCAAAGTGACCCTGCATCTCTCCATTCTCCATCTTTACCAGTGATAGCCTTGACCTCAGTCTAGTCTCCCCTCCTTCTAGCTAAGACTGGTGAAGACACCCAATCAGAGAATTACCTCTGTTCCCTGACACCATCCAGTCAGATCAAAGCCCCAGCTCTTTACATGCGCCCCAGAGTCCCCAACCACATGCTCCTAATAGATTCTCTCTGACCACCCCCACCCCAACAGAGATGTCCTCCACTCACCCATGGTGCGTGTTCTCCATCACTGCAGGGAGCAGTAACGAGATGCTACATTGAGCACAAGGTGCCCCCATTGGCCTTTGTCCGGAGGGTGTTGACACATTGAGTTTGACCGCATTATTGACATTTACAGCTGAGAAGCCTGTGTGTTGGTGGGCAGAGGGGCGACTGGCAGAGCTGGCGCCAGGACCCAGGTCTGTGTGACTCAGCCCGAGCCTGGGTGGGAGGATGGTGCAGATCCCGCTTGCAGACTCTCAGCGACCACACTCGACCCTTTCTAAGGCTTACCTCTTCCGAAAGGGGCACATAGCACAGGGCCTCGCCCCAGCCCTCCTGCTCTCACGTCTCCTGCCGCTATTGCCGCCCGAGCTCCCCAGCGCCTGTTGCGCTGAGGGACACTCCAGCAGGTGTGGGAGCAACCTGAGAGCTGGCCCTTGGGCCACTCAGTAGAAAAGTGAGAGGCCCTCGGGCAGAGAGGGACCCTCCAGTATGAGAACCAGAGGCACTGGTTCCCACAGGGCCCTCTTTCTGCCACTACAAGCTGTGTGATGTCAGGCAGGTTCCTAAACATCTCTGAGCCTCAGCTCTCTCATCTGGGAATAAGAAATAATACCTGCCCTGTCTGTCTTTGAGTTGGAGAGAGGACTGTGAAAGCACCTTAAGAAGGGCTTACAAATGCCATGAAAATCCATAAGGTGTTATTTTATCACTACTGTGACTCAGAGCTAAACAGTAATGCCGAGTCCAAATACACCCTTTCTAAGGAGTCAGAGATTCCTTTAGTTTCCACCACAGACAGGCAGCCAGATCTACATCTGACAAGCTTGCAGAAGGCATTTTTGTCATTTTCATCAGATTTTTTTTTCAAAAGTTTTGGGTGACAGTCAATAAGATGCCTCTGTTTCACAGATGGTGAAGCCAGATACACAAAGACACACAGATATAAGCAGTTACATTTATAGACAAACACATGAAAACACAGATGGACACACCCAGACGTACACACAGTCACGTACAGACACAGACAGGCAAGCAGAGAGATAATCACAGGCACACAAAGGACAGTAAACTGAATCAGGATCACTGGGACCCTTTCTGTCTTCACAGCTGCATCCCCAGTCCCCACAGCAGTGCCAGGTACATGAATACACGTTTGTCAAACAAACAAATGAGAGAATAAATGAACACGGATGGGTGGGTGGGCAGGGGGATGCATACATAGTTTACGCAGACACACCTAAACACACTCTGCTGTCCTCAGATCCTATTAGTCCTTCAGTCACCTCTCTGCCATGCTCCCCATCAAAAAACCCTCAGATCTCTCTGCCCTGCATCTAGGCACCGTGGCCGGTCCCCCGAGGGAGGGCGGAAGTCCCGTCGAAGGCACTCTCGCCGCTGCTCCAAGACCCTCTGCAAGGCCAGCCCAGAGGCCCGGTCCAGCCCCCAACCCAGCCAGCCCCTCCAGATGCTCAGCTTCCTGTCAGCCAGGGGTGTAGTAAGTATTCCTCACAGCCTCCTCCGCCAGTCTTGGCCGGGACACTTGGGGGAGGTGGAGGCACAAGTTCAGAGCAGTGTATGACACATTTTAATTCAGTTTCGGGCAAATATCCCACTGGTTTCAGACCTCCTTCTTGATTTAACTGAATGGTCATTCACCAGCCTTTGGCAGCACTCAGCTTGGAGACTTGGCAAGTTAGGGTGTGTGTGGGGTGGGGGGAATGGGGAAAACCTGAAACACTGAGGCTCTTTATCAGGGGAATGGTGAAAATACATTTTGGTCTCCAGAGTGACATCTGCAGGAGGGCATGTGTGAGACATTGTAGGAGGTTTCTTTGGGGAAGAAGGAGAAGAGGGGTCTTTGATGTAACAGAGGCACTGCAGCTTTGCAGTGAGGTCTGCGTCTTTGACAGCTAGGCTGCAGCACTGATGAGCAGATGGGATTTGATGTCACCCGTATTAACTTGGCCTTGAATATATATGAGAATTTTCCTCCAAGGAGGTGATAGAACTTAACCTCTCATATTCACACAAGGTCTCAGGGAGTTGAGGACTCAGCTGTCTTCACTAGTTGCTTCCACAGGTGGGACCAAAAAGCCAAGGCTCAGAAAGATGAAGGTATGGAGTAAAGCCATAGGGCAAAGCAAGAGTGAATACATTCGAAAAACTGGCCTTAAATGGGATCATGCAACAGTCCCTTTGGTCAGCAAGGAGGGTCAACTTCAGACAGTTTGATGCCAGGAAGTCTCCTGAGCAAAGCCTTTGGAGTTGGGTCTGAACTCAGCTTCCTAGCTGTGTAGCTTGGAGAAAGTCATCTAACCTCTTTGAAACTCAGTTTTCTCATTGGCAAATTTGAAATAATACCACTTCCATGTGGGGATTGTGGGGGATACCCAGTAACAGAAAGTATATGGAGGCCTTTTGTAGACTCTAAAGGGACAGACAAACAAACAGGAGGAGACTCAACATAGACGTAGCCTTCACTTACACCTGACAACTGGGAAGGGTCCTGTCTCCTCTAGCTAGGTGTGGCGTGGATGTGAAAATTTCAGAGAGCTGCTCCCTTAGAAAGGATGAGCTGGAAGTAAGGAAAAGCTCTGAGGTTCTTGCTGGGAGGTCAAGGAAGAGAAGGTGATGATAAACATTGGTTGGATCTGGTTGACACAATAGTTATATCCATAATGCATTCTGGGAATCTCTTCTTTACCAGTCAAGACATCTGTATCACCAAGGTATAATTCTGCCGTAATCTCTGCCTTGCTGGAACCATCCACAGCTCAGCCCAGGCCCTTCTTTTGTAGAAGGAGGGAACCTACAGTTGCTCAGTATTTGCAGATGGTAAATGTTCATGTTCATTCTTCCCTCCACGAATGCCTATGAAAGTTCTTTCCAGTAAGGCAGAGTTCAGAGGCCTGGGCTCAAGACTTGGCTTGGCCAGACAAATCCTTTTACTCCTCCCAGCCTCAGCTTCCTCAACTGGAAAATAAGCATGATTATCACACCTGTGTCCCAAAGGAATTGTTGCAAAGGTAGAAGAAAATTTAAAATACAAGCAATAAGAGGTGGAAGAATGGTTTTAAGTTAGTGAAAGCCACCCAACCTCTTTGGCCACAGTATTTATGGCAGCCATTCGGTGGCCCCAACTGACACTCTGTAAAAATACCACTGGGTGCAAATGGCTTGTATTCTCTCACCTGGGACAATTTCCAAACCATCAGGTCCAAGATGTTGCAAAAAATTGAATGTTAACTCCCCCCATCCCCCCAAAACTATTGTCCTCCCACACCAGTGAGTGAGTTACCAGATTGGTCATTGGTTCTTAGGGCCCAGCCCCTATTAGAAGAGCAGAAAACTCATCCATACCTAGAACCCAGTGCCCTGGTTCCAAAAAGAGAATCTGAACTCACAGATGAGAAATGCCTTCCAGGGGCTCCAGCAAGTCAGAGTTATTAAAAACATGAGATTATGATTTTGTGATCAAACCCTGGTCCCAAGTCAGGGATAGTTATAATATTTAAAATTTTGTCAGCTGCAGTTTCCTCACCCTTCAGAAAATGCAGATAATAAACCTCTTCTTCAAAAACCTTGTTCAGGGGACAAAAGCAAAATAATTTTGTAAGCAGCTGAGCCTGGTACTTGGCACAGGGGCAAAAATAAGCAAATAGTAGATAGTGTCAGGGTGACAACATTTGAGATGCTGGCTCTGTATTTTCCAACTGTGGAACCTTGAGCAAGTTACATAAGTTCTCCATGCCTCCGTCTTTCCCAAGTCTGCAGAATGAGGATAATAGTAAGACCTACCTCATAAGAGGGATATTATAAGGATGCAACAACTCACTGTAAGACTTTTAGACTGTAACAGGTGAGTGGTAGGTCCTTTGTTGCTGGCGGTGGATAGAAGTAACAGCAGTATTAACAATGGAAGTGGTAATAATAGTAGCAACAATAGTAGCGGCACTGATAATAGTAATGGAGTAGTAGGAATGGTTCCAGGCCCAGGTTAGTTTGTGGATGAGTTGAGACCTCAGCTAGAAGCCCTGCTTCCCCTGCTTTCAGTTTCCTTCCATCCTTGATGGCAGCTGCAATCCAAATGGCTGGCCCCACCCTGCTCATGGCTGCCTGACTCCTGGGGGCATCAGACACCCCTCAAGTCTGGCACTCCCGATGCCCTCCACACGGTTCTTTCTCATCCTGTCTCCTGCACAGGCACAGGTGGAGAGGATACCAGGTTGAGCCAAAGGTTTTCTGAGAGTCCAAGATTTTCCCAAACTCTGCTAAAGAGAACAGCAAAGTCACAGTCACTGAGTCACTTGTTTGACCACTCGTTCAAATCTACCAATTATCTACTAAGCATCTATAAAGCGTCAGTTCTGATGTAGCCCTCAGAATCCAGTGAATAAGAAATAGCCTATGCCTTCTTATAAAGAAGACAGACAAAACTGTAATGGAAAATACACAATGAATACTGAGATGGGATGGGGGTAAGGAGGCAGGGGAGGAGGGGATTGGGGTTCAAGTTAGGTTAGGGCAGAGGAGATGACAACTGGGAAACTGGACAATGGAAACAGGAATTGAATGCTGGAGTCAGGATGGAGACGGAATTCCAGCACAGGAGATGGGGTTCTGGAGGTGAACAGGAGCTGGAGCACAAGAGATGTCCTATGCCCTGCTTCCTGCCACAGCTCATGGCAGGCATCTCATATGCACGGCTCTTTAAAGAATCAAGGATGGGCACATGACATCAAGGGGGCCTATTTACATATGTGAATATGCAAATAATAAATAAGCTGATGATAACTAGAAGTCCTCTTGCTTGGTCAGAGCCCAGATCCAAATGGAGGGTCCCAAGGAGTCAGTCCTTTGTGGCCTTATTCATTTCTTATCTACACTCAGTCATCTCTGTTCAAGGCATTAGAGAGACAGATGAATAAGCAGGCTTCTGAATCCCAGAGCTCACGCTCTAGTCATCCACAGAATACTGAAGTACTGTAGGATAAATATTGTCATTAGGACTGAGACTGAGTCAGTATTTGAATACTTGCAAACCAGTTGATAAATAGACCCTGTCGCCACCCACTCTCCAGTCAACAAAGCCATCCCTTCCGTCCTCTGGTACCTCCTGGACCTTCTCACAGACCAGCAGCTAAACATTGGTACCTGGCAGCCCTTCAGTGCCAAGCCTGGTTATTTTCAGATGGGGCAGTACTCACATTCAACCAGTTGTTGAATATTTTCAATATCAGCCTTGGAGGTGATAGAAACAAGTATGATATGTAATAGGACCACAGAGGAAGGACAAGACAATGTCTAAGAGATCTTGGTGTCTGAGAGGACTTTACAAATAAAGAAACATATAAGTTGGGCTTTGAAGGATGAGTAGGAGCTCACCCAGTTGAGTTGGCTGATGAATAAAGGGAATGGTAAATACCACTACATGCCAGGCACAATCACATACTTTACACAGTTTTTTTTTTTCCTCATTTGATTCACAAAATTCTTTGAGGTAGGTGCCATCATTATCACCATTTTTCAGAAGGGAAAACTGAGGCTCAGAGAGGTGAAATGACTTAAGTAGATAGCCCAATTAGGAGGAAGAGGAGCTAGTATGAATCATGGCTTATATCTCAGAAGCTTACTCTGATAGCCAGAGGGCCAACTGGATGACAGAGAGGTTGGTGGCCCCAAAGTTTGGCCACACCCTGTCCCTATAGCAGAGAGTTCTCAGTTAAGTCTACCCTAACTGGAGGGGGAACTTAAAGGGGCTGATCAAGACTGAAGTTAGACTCAAGAGAAGGCTTCTTTTCTCCTCCTGCCTGCAGCAAGCCAGCAGTTTCCACATAATCTTTGTCAACAAAAACTTGCACAGATAAAAAAAAAAAAAAAAAAGCAGAACTTAGGCTCCGTGAAAGAGGGCCTCATTTGTGAACAGGAGGGAGCAGGAGAAGATAGTGATGAAGACAGGAGCCCTGGAGCAGATGCAAACACTCCGGAGTTCTTGACCTCATCTCCCTGTGAGGCTGAGCCATAGCTCATGCTTCCCTGCGCACCTACTGTGTGCTGTATTCTACATGTGTCCCCTCATGTATTTCTTATAACAGCCTTTCAAGGGAGTTTCCATTAGTATCCTTATTTTATAATGAATAAACTAAAGACTGGAAAACTTAAGTAAAAGGTACCTATTAAGTGGAGAAGTGAAGATTCAAACCCAGAACATCTGCCCTCAGGGTCCAGGTGCTTACTGACCTGACCTCCCTTATATTTTGCTGGAGCTGTGTCCCAATCTATACCTTTAACTAACAATCATACCTACTTCATGGAGTAGTTGTGAGGGTGGAATGAGATCAGTTGTCCATTTAGTTTTGAAGCATACACTAAGCACCTACTATGTGCCAGGCACTTGGTGAGTAACAGTGAACAAGACAGACAGGTTTCTGCCTTCATTAGCTTCTATTCTGTGAGCAAAACTTAGCCTGGTGCTAGGGACATAACAATATACAG